GCCAAAATGTTTTTCTTTTTTTTTTTTTTTTTTTTTTTGTTTAACTCCTTCAGTGTTTTACTTGCTGTAAACATGTCAGAAATAGAAATCTGTGTCTGTTTAAATTTTTCTGTCTAAACCCAATTCTAATTTGCAGGTCAGCTGTCTATTCAGCGTCTAGTTATGGCAGATATTGTGGCACCAGAACCTCATTTTCTGTCTTGTGAAAAGCAGCAAACTGATAGTAATACCAATTTTCTTTCATATTTACCATTCACAGTATATGTGACCCCAGCACTGATCCAGCACCTGTTTGTTTAACTATTTTTGGAACCCTTCAAATCCTCTGACCCCACACTACCCACTCCTTTTCTCCAAAATGGAACCATACAAAGTGATTTTTATTTTTTTCAGAGAGGAAAAAATGCTTGCTGAGTTTCTAATGATAATGTATGTAAATCTTGTGACAGCTTCTTTCCCATCACAGTTTTATAAAATAGGAAATGAGTTCTATGTTGTTCTTAACAAATGGAAAGCAGATTTAGCTTCCACATTTTGATATGTATTCTGCAGCTGTGATACGCTGAAAGAACAGGCCTGCCCGTTAATAGATGGGCTAGAAAGAGTTGAATATTAAAGTTGCTAATTAAATGCTGAATTCGCCCATACACCTCCTTTCATAAGTTCTTCACAAGTTAAGAGGGTGACAGGTTTAATTTTCATTCTGCTTGAGGTTTGAGATTGAAAACCTCAAGTCCTTGAAGCAAAGGGTTGAACCGCTTTAGTTTCAGTGGAGCTGAGATTCCTGGGGAGCCCTCTCCCTTATCTTACCATGTATATATATCATACCTAAGCTGTCTTACCATAGCCTTCCCTGTTTCCAAGAATCTGCTCGTCCTCCTGATGCTGCTCAGGTCTTACTACAGTTAGCTATGCTTCTGCAAGGCCTGTCATCCAGGAGGAGGATAATTATAGTCCCAGATGTTTGCAAAACTCAGGTGTCCCCCTGCAAGCGTCTGCCCAGGGAGCGTGTCTGGGGCTAAGCAAGGTGCCCAGTCCCACAGGGGTTGCAGCTGGCCTTTGGAGGTCTGTTCTGCTGAAGAAGACTTAAAATCAAACAAGGAATTTCAGGGAAAGATTGCATTGCTGTTGCCAGTTCCAAATGCATCTCGTAGGCTCCTGTAAATACCTGCTTGCTTAACAGCTAACTTGCTTGCACCAGTGCTCGTTGTGTTGGGTAAAGAAACTAAAAGCAAAATTACAAAACCTACAGCACAAGTGTCTCCTCACCTCTGTGAGTGGCAGATTTCTGTGTCCAAGGTCACCATTTAACTCTCTAGTGGGTTTCCAGGGGTCTGAGCATGACCACTGCTGTTGTGATGGGTCGTGACGCAGTTGTTCACCTGTGACTGTCACCTGCAGCCCAGTCCATCGAGCAGCGGCTGATGAAGATTGACCACACGGCCATCCACCCTCACCTGCTCGACATGAAGATTGGCCAGGGGAAGTATGAACAAGGATTTTTCCCAAAGCTGCAATCAGATGTCTTGGCAACAGGACCCACCAATAACAAGTAAGCGCAGGTTTTATTTCCTGGATTTAAAAACAAGTTTCTCATACAAATGCTTCACGTCACTGGACAGAAGTCCTAATTTTGGATGGCATATAGCCAGTCTAATGAATGGAAAAGTAACAGCCTGTTAGTTTTGAATGTCTAATGAATGGAAAACTAACTAACCTGTTTCCATTTCCTGCTTTTTTTCAGCCCATTTCATGGGCTGTGACTTTTGAAAATACAACCATAGTTTGGGTTATGTCAGGAAGCGTTGGCTGTTGGGCAAGATTCCTCACTGCTGTTTTCTATTGAGTGGAAACTAGTCTGCCTTCTCATACATAGTTGTTGTTTTGTAATTGGCCTTACGAGTTTCAAATGAATTGTTCTGCACTAAATACAGTAATTTGGGAACTCAAGCCAAAATCCAGATTCTGAAAGAAATTCTGGTGCTGAAACCTTCACACCATTATGTGGAATGAAATTAGTGTCCACTCTGTTCCTTTCTTTTCTTTAGCTGTTATTACATGACCCAGAGATTTTTGTAGCTCTCTTTCAGTTGCCACATTGGAATACCCTGGAATAGTAACTTGGTGAGGGTGGAAAGTATGTGATTCTGTACCTGGGTTTCTTTTTCGAGTCTGGTGGGGTTCTCTGGTGCACTTTGATAAGAGGGTAGTGGTACCTATAGCTGTGGAATTGAGCATGTCATTACATGGTTCATTTACCTAATGCAAAATGGGAACCTGGAGCACTGATACACTTTACATCTGTACAGTTGTAATACAAAGTAAGTGGTGTTAGTTCCTTTATTTTTAATCTTTCTTCCTGCAAAACCCATGAATGAGGGGTTTCTCCCTCTTCAAAAGTGAAATATTTGTGCTCCACTGATTACAAACTCATTAAATTATCAGCTGAAGCCCTCAGTTTCAGCTTCTGGTAGTCAAAATGTGGGAGCACAGGTAAATCCAAGAGCTTCAAAGGCTACAGTTGTCCAAATGTTAAAGTTACCTCTTGTTTTAGACATGTGCATGCACACACACTGCTCTGAGCTTCTGCATGAGGTGCCCACTCATTTCTATTTAAACACCTTTTGTGCATTCCAATGCTAGCTAAGCCCTTTTGAATAACCTGCTAGGGATAAGAATTGCAAATGATAATATAAGAGAACCTTAAGCACTGAATGTTTAAAGAAATGGAGTTCTTGAAAAGAAATTTTTAAAACCCTAGAACCAACCAAAAAGTAGGAATGCATATTTCAAAGTTCCCTTCTTTTAGGCGTCCTGCAAATGGAGACAGAATTGTATGGGTAATGGTCCTTTGAGGAATGGAGGATTTCTTCATCTTGTGAGATGCTGTATTTAGCAGTCTGCCTCTTATCCTTATGGGTGGGTTTCAGTTTCAGTGTCAGCAACACTGTGAGTGTGCCCAGCCTGCTTAAAGTTGCTTAAATCTTCTGTCTCTATTGCAAAAACGTAGTGAATCTATGAATAAGCATCACTTAAAAATGGTTTTCCTTATGCTTTTTGAGATTTGCTTCTGTTAGATTGGTACCTGTTCTAAAATGACTTTCACTCCTTGAGTGGTGATTTTGATTTCGATCGCAGCATGTTTCAGAATTTGTAAGTACCAAAATCCCATCCCTAACCACAAAGTGATGTCAAAGTGACAAATGTTTGGAATTTCTCCAGTTGTATGTTGCCAAAAAATCTTGTAATTGGAAAATCTCAAGACCATCTGTTTGTATCTTTCTTCTGCCCGGTTTTCATGTGAGCAGCTGAGAAGACTCTTTCTCTCCCATTTAGGACATGTAATTGTGCTGATTTTACACCCATGTATAGAACAGCTTTTCCTTGCCTTCTGCAAATGCAGCGTGACTCTTCTGACCACAAAATCAATTGAAGTATAGCCTTCCATTAATATGAATTTCCCAGTGTATGATTCTTGGAGATACGTTTTACTTACAGGGCTGGAGCTTTGCCTACGGGCATGGGCTAAGAGAACATTCCAGCTACGTTTCCAGACTCCTCAGGTGTAGCTATTGTGTGTTTATATTATAAAATTAATGCAAATAGTATTGCTGTGTAGATGAGAATTATTTTTTCAGACTTCAGTTTTACATAGCAAATTTTGTCCTGAGTTTTGTATGGAAGTGTATGGGAAATGGGGAATAATTCCCATGTTGCAGTCAGCTGTTGCTGGACAGTAGCAAATAAACCAATTCAAAGCTGTTTTAATGAAAACATGTCCTCGGTGGCCAGCAATCAGGAATTTATTGCTTCCCTTTCTGGGCTGATAAACTAACAAATTTGTAACCAGAGATCATAATGTTATCTAGCTGTTCCCTTCCTGTGTAAGCAGGAGGAGCACTGAAAATACCTCTGTCAGTTACTGGGCTATTACATGTGTAAGATGTTGTATCTAAATCACAAATACAATGCAGACAACAAACACTTCTAGTTTCAGTTCTAGATCCTATATGTGATTTAAACAACTTAAACTAAATCCAAACCAAAACAATCCCCCAGTTCTGTCCTCCTTCCCATCAGGCAGCAACATCCCACTTGGGCTCCCTCTGTGCTGCTTGCCTTTGATACATCTCCCACATCATGGGAAAACCTTCTGAATCTACAGGGAGCAGCTGCAGCTTCCTCTGGGTATAAAAGCATCCCCTCCACGATGCTCTAACTGTGTAAAGAAGTCCTCCTAGAAAGCATCCCAGGAGCGAACAGGCTGCAGTCCCTCAGGCTATTTGTCTGTTGTTCTGGAAAAGAGCTGTGGTTTCCAGAGCCCTCATTTCCTTTCTCAAACCCCAGCACCACACTGTGGTTTCTATGTGTTCCCTTCTTCCTTGTGTGCATTTTCTGCCAGGCTTTAAAATTGTAGCTGGAGCTCCACTGGCTGATGCATTTGCAGGAGTGGAATTTGAATGACAAAAAGCCAAGCTACATAAACACTTCATGGTTTTTGATTAGCTAATTGTTAAATTAGGGGGGATATGCTTACAGTGCAAAATTAAAACAATGAAACAAGCTGTGTTTTCAATCTAATTGATTACCTTGTAACTTAATTTGTACTAAGAAGCTTGATAAATGAGATTAAATATTGCAGAGGAAAACAGTGATTCCCAGGCATGGGAATATATTTGCATTCTGGCAATTTGTATTGAATGCCTTCAAAGAACAACTGAATGCATTTTTTTCTTCTTTCTTTTGGTTTTCAAATGAAGGGTTTGCTTTGTTACACATGTACAAAATGGCTTTAATTACCCTTTTTTGCCTTCCTATCTGTTTAAGCCTGCTTTCCCTCCCACTTCTTTATTGGAGCCCTGCTTTCCTCCTTGCTTACTGTCCTGACCAGCTTGTTTCCTCTTTCCTGCCCTGGCCACTTCTATCACCTGAGCCCTCTCACTTGCATCCCAGCTTCCTGTGAGCTTTGGTCTATCCTGTGTCCTGCCTTTCCTGCAGCAGTCCCCAAAGGAGGACATAGAGCAGGTCTCCAATCACAGATCCCACTGTTCTTGGCCTCTAACCTCAGGCTTTTGCTGGGTGATGTGTTGCTCCTACCCACAAAGCACATTTCAGAAGTTGTTTGCTTTCTGCAGGCATTTGTTCCAGAGCTGTGTTTTGCTGATCTGACCACTGTGTCAGTATTTATTTACAAAACCCATGGCGTAGGAGTGTATGGAATTGGTTCATTTTTGTGCTCTGTTTTATGACATGACTTGGTGGGCACTGTCCTGTGGCCTTCATCTTCAGCCCCTTCCTTCAAGGTGGGAACTGTGCAGGATTTATCTGCCTGGGGCTATGGTCCTCCTCATTTTTAAACAGGACGTTTTTTTGCTTGTTGCTGGCATTTAACATCAGGTAATGATTTTAAAGGTGATGTATATATAACACAAAGGGGTCGATGTGTCTCTTTGTGGTGACAGAATTTGTTCTGGTTTTAACTAAATTATTTTTTGTATGCCAAATGGTCTTTTACTTTTAATGAATGCTTCATATTATATGACCTTTTAATAACCCCCTGTCTGTTGGGTACTGTTTTAAGGCTGTGTTAAATGAAGATATCATCTTTTTTTTAATCAAGCCAAACAATTGCAAGTAATTTAGAGTGGCATCTCTGCAGTGCATCTAGGTGGGCACAAAATAAGTCAGCAATGAGCCATCCACACACAGCACTGAGGTTATTTAAATTTTTTGAGTAGTAAAAGCTAACCTTTTACATAAGAAGATCTGAAACAAGCAGTTACTATACTTTAGGTAACCTAATGTAGCAAACCACTAATGGGTGCAATGAAAATATGAACCACTTGTACTCCAATACATTCATTTTCAGGAATGAAGTGTGACTGACAATCTGTGCTTAAAGATGGTTTCTGAGTTAGGAGATATGTGTTGTGGTGACTTGGAACCTGATGGGTGAGTCTCCTGAGCTACTGATCCTCTGCTCAGCTGGTGCAAAGCATGAAAAGTGCAATTAACCTCATTGAGTTAATATATCATTTTAACATAGCTGTGCAGAATTGAACCTGACAGGGAAAAATGGGCATTGAAATCCTTGCATCCACATTCCATTTGATCTTCTCTGAATAGTACTCCTGTCTCAAGGGACTTGCAAATTAAATATCTCATAGGACAGTGGTTCCTCAGGGCAGGTGATGCTGCCAATTCAGTACAGCTCTTCCTTACAGAGGATGACAGTGGTGTGTGCCACCCTTTAAAATCACTTCTTTTCCTGTGAGCTGATGGAAGCCTGTCAGTGCAAGGCCACTCTCTTTATGGCATTTTACTAATTTTTGTCCATCCAACGGGCAGTTTCAGAGCTTTCCTATTTCACCCTACGGCAGAGATGGAGAAGGTGCCTAAGTCTCCATCTAGGCCTTTATTTTCCCTACCATGGAGCAGTGTTTGTGGAGCAGATTCACGCTGTGGATCCCCTCCCCTGTCAGCCCATCCATGATCAGGTGGAGCTCAGTTTCAATGTTCCTTTTCTTGTTTGGTCTGACATGTCTTTGACTTGGAGTCTCTGTGTACAGTCCCACACATGTGAGCCCTACAAAGAGTTTGCATGTGCAGGCTGTGTGTGTTTAATGTGTGCCTGTTTTAAGGGGGTTTGCTGGAGGCTGTACTACAGCTGCGTGCTAATTTGTGAATGCAGAACTCGGGTAACTCCTTTGATGGTCCTAGATAGGTAGAATAGGTATTGTCATGATTAGCAGACCTAAATAGCAGCCTGCCTCATGAGATGGTGTATATGAGGAGATTTAGGTTCTGTCCTATAGAATGGATTGTAAATTACAATAGTGATTTTCATGGTGATGGTAATATTGGTTAAATCCATCTGAGAAAGAAGTTCTCTAGCAACATGTTCATGTTTTGCAATATAAATCTTGCCTGCTACACGCATGTCTGATTTGGGTAGACATAATTTCTTCATTTCTCCAGGGAACTTAAAAAGGGGGGCCAGGGAGAAGGTATGGGAAGAAAGAGATATGTACACATGGTCACGGTACAGCATGGCCAGTCCCTGCTGTTAGGTGCTGTCTTGCTAGATGGTTTCTGACAGTGCAGCTTTGCTGCTGAGTGCCTTACCTCTTTTATTATAGAAATGTAAAAGATGATACTTAATGTGGGATGTTTCAAATGTTGCCATTACATTCCCTCCAACCTCTGCAAACATATTCCTATGCTTGTTGGGTCTAATTTGATACTAAATGATGCTGACTTGACTGCTTTTATATTACAAAGGTCTTAGTTGGAGGTGCCTTACTTCATTTCCGTATGTTGAACTGAGCACAGTCTTCCCTGGTCCCTGCTCTGAAATATCACTGCTTTTCCACAGTCCCTGGAGGTGAGGAGCATTCATCTGTGGATATAGGAGTTAGATACAGACAGACACACTGAAATGAGCCTTTCCTCATTTCTCCATGGAGGCAGCTTGTCCCTGGGCTCCCTGCAGCACCGCACCCAAGCTGCCTGCTCTATCCCCAGAGACCTGGTGCTTGTAGCAATGCCTGCACTGTGAGGAATAAATGAAACATGCCAGTAGCTCATGCTCATGGCCCTGCCAGCAAAAAACTCAAAGGGAGAAGGCATTTTTGGGGTTGGGGAGTCCTTGGGTCACATCCGGGCTGAGCAGCAGGAGGGCTTCATCTCCTCAGGACAAGAAGAGGAGGGATACAGGCAGCAGTGGTTATCTGAAAAGCCCAAGTCTAAGGGCTGCTGGAGGGAGAACAGCTTTCCTTGCTGCTTTGGCAGCACCTGGGCTGAGGTGTGAATAGAGCAGCAGCTGATGACAGGGCCAGCAGAGGTACCCACACGGGATTTCAGCAGCCATGGCGAGGTGGTGTGACCACTGGGGCTTTAATCTCCCTTAAAATCACTTCAAGAGCAATTTAAAATGCAGTGACTGCTGAGGAGAGGGAATAGTTATTGTAATACTGAAGCATTGTTTTGGGAAAATTCTATGTGACCCAGTAAAGAAAAGGCTTTAAAAGATTTAGCTGCTTAATCCTGTTTATCTGCTGTTAGATCTTCACAAAACCTCCCAGAGAGATTCAGAGCAGCATCTGAATGTACAGACCTCACCCAGTGACTCAACAGCTCCTCTTCCTCAACTTAGCGTTTGGAAAGAGGGAACGTGCTGCTCACTGTGTGTAATTGCTCCAGCTAATAAGCAGCAGTCTTTTTTTTCATAAACATCCAACAATCTTCACCTTTGTATTATTAAAACGTTCAAATAGTTCTGGTTAATAACCTGTAAAATGGTCTGTGCTGTCTCCCAGATGAAGTACAGCTCTGGAATGAACTGAAAATGTTTGAATGGTGGTGTATTATTTTATAATTATGCTGTGGCTTTCGTTCTGCTTTCACCTGTGATGAGATGTTTTCCCTCAAAGGACACTTAAAGCAATTCTTTCATCTTGCAGTAAATGCAGAAATGCAGGTGGAGATGGATCCAAGCTCTGTCTAGAATTCAGAAAATAACCATGTAAATTGAGGCAGAAAAACTATGTTATGGAGTGATATTTGATCTATAACTTAAATTTCCAGTGTGATATTGACATTCTGTTGTGTGAAACATAAACATGGTCCTGGCTTGCAATAAATGGAAGGTCTCCAGAACCAAGTGGCTAAAGTCACATTAATATCTGCTATCTTCTGTTCAACAGAGTTTTTCTGTGACATTTCTGTTTCTTGAGATTATTAAAATGTAAGGGTTTATTTTCCCCCTCTTTGTCATCTTATGAGGCTTTAGCTGTTGCTGCTGAAGAAAAAAAGGTGACTTATTAAACACAGGCTGTACATTTTTAAGATGTCTGGAGGTGCAAAGACACTTATGTCAGTGATGTGTTCCTCTGGGAAGGTATCAGTATTTGCTGTGCAGACACCTATTGGGCTGTTTCATTTTGTTAGCAGAGACTTGAGGCCACAAAAAAAAAATTTGCTTTAAAAATAAAAGTGTTTTCATATGGGATACTGAGGTGATGAACCATAATTACATGTAGACCCAGATTTCTTCCTTTGTACTTGTTTTCTAGATGTTTTGTGAGGTACGATGGGACATCAGTTTGACTTGTTTAAACAACAGTTCCTGTGGCTTTTTTCCCTTTGTATCTGTGTGGTGAGCCAAAATTCAGTCTTTGGTTGACTCTGAAGGAACTGATGAAGATAGTTATGTACACATTTGCAAAGTCCTTCTCTCTGGAAACAGGGGCCTTTCTTTGGTCACTAGGGGCTATATCCCTGCGCTACTCTTGGGTCAGATTCCCTCCCTGCACATCCCCAGTGTTTTGCCCAACATGTCAGAACCCAAGTCCAGCTCTGTGCAAGAATTTCCTCCCCAAGCATTCATCTGCATGTGTCGCCTGCTGAAACTCCTTGCCCAAACTGTTAGATCCCAAATTTTATTTGTATATAGTTTTGTTCGGAGTGCACACAGAAATACATGGGTTTGGGATTTGGAGACTGTCCTCACCAATGCCACCTGTGTGGATAGAGGAAAACTTCAGCTGGGCATCCATGGAAAAACCCCAGGCTTTCTGTGATACTTAGAAACCAAATGCAAAAAAAAGATAAGGTGAAAATAGCAACATGACTAATCCCAGGAACATCAGTATTGTTTATAACCTTTAGGCATAGGTGCACCCAGTAACAGTTGTTAAAATTGCAAAGAGAAGTTTGTATCAAATAATTCCTGGAAGTACCACAGAAAGTGGAGAAAGGAGAAGTAGCACTTCTCACAGAAAAGCAAAATCATAGAAATTGCTACTCAAAATAAATCATTGTATTTTGTTTTTTGCTGAAGGTGCTGTTTTTGTCAAACCTCATCAAATGCAGCAGTGGTGTTGGGTAACTAAGCACAGTGACTTGCCTAGTGATAGTGTCAATGCTATGGCATGGCCTGTGCTTCAGGTACCAGGAGCTCTTACTGGAGACCCTGGCAGGCAGCTGGGCACGTTTCCATTGGGATTTTTGTCCCTTGGCCGAGTGCTGGTCTGTCACCTCCCGGGTGGTTTCCCTTGGGGTGGCTGGGCACCAGCTCGCACCCGTCTTTACTGCAAGGTCCAAGCTTGGGCTTTCCCTTCTTTTGCTGCAGACCCATTGGATGTCCTTCAGCTCCTGGCTTTCCCTGCTGCTTTTCTTCTGCTCACATGTGTCTCCTTTCTGTGTTTTCCCAGCCGCTGGGCCAGCCGCAGCGCCACCACGCAGCGCAGGAAGGATCGCCTGCGGCAGCACTCGGAGCACATCGGGCTGGACAACGACATGAGGGAGGTGGGTGGCCTCATCTGAGGGCAGCACAAGCTGTGATTCAGGAGGTGGAGGTTTGGACAACAACGTGCTGATTACTTGGGGCAGTTTTGTGGCTACTGTATGGTTTGGTTGGGTCTCTAGCCATTTGGATGCCACTCCGCTTGTCACTGATGCTGTACAACTGTACGGCAAAAGCACGCAACGTAAATGAAGTGCTTTTATTATTTTGGAACAAGACAGCCGGTTTGTCATCAGAGAAATTAATTTGCTGATTTAACCCTGGCTGTGTTACTGCACACAGACAGCAGAGCCTGGCAGTGCAGCTGCCAAACTCTGGCCAGGGTGGAAGTCTCTGGAAAAGTCAAGTCGTTGAATAAATGTCAGCCATATAGAAGTGAATGAGGCAGGATTCTTCCTTTTTTTTTTTTCTTAAAGGAGCTTCTTTTTTCCCTTTCTCTTATGTAGATTTCTGACATGAGTATGCCTGTTTGAAAGGTTAAGACTTTGGGGCCTTTTTATGCCTAAAGCTTGGAAACTCCCGTGCATCTTATAAATGTCAGTCACATACATGTGTTGCTTTCCCATCTTTTCAGTTCCTCATCCTTCGTGAAATATTTTCTGCCACATTTTTCCATTGATGTCCATATGCTTCTATTGTATGTCACTAGCAAAAATATAACACTCATGCTGTTTTGTGGTAAAACTCACTCAGTAAAGCTGGTCTGCGTTGGAGTTTGCTCTCCAAAAGAACCTGAGTGGATGAGAGGACTCTTCAACCATAGCTTTGAATGAAGTTTCATGGAAACACAGCAAAACAGCGCTTGTACCTGTTTGTTGCTATTTTTGCTAACATGGCTTTGCAATATATTTTAAGCAGTGCCTCCTGCTTGTATATGGCAGCAGAGCCTTCTCAGTACTTTGTCGTGTATTTACTTTTATTTACTTTCTCTTTTTTTTGGCTGTGGGTCATATGCATGCTTCTTTTGCTTTGTCTCCTCTTTCTTTCTGGCTGTTCTGCCATTGGGGCATCTGCCTCCTCTTAGCCATCGGAGGAGCTTTTGCTTCGTCAGAACTCAATGGCCTTCTGGGAGTGGGATCAGGGACCACCCCCTCCTGCACGGCCTCCTAAAAAATCCTTCTCTGAATGCTGCCTGGTATGTTTTAGTTTTTCTTGTTGAAAGCTGCTTTTGAGATGTTGTTAGCATGAGGAACCTGTGTCTTTGCTGCATCTCAAACCCCCTTCTTGTAGAGATGAGCACGTCCCCGTAGCGCTTGGAAGTGTGGTTATAATCGGAAAAGTCTCAAACCTGCCCCTTCTTGTAGAGATGAGCACGTCCCCGTAGCGCTTGGAAGTGTGGTTATAATCAGAAAAGTAGCTGGAAAGGAGCTTGCCCACCAGCTCCCTGGAAAACACTGTGGCTCCAAGGCTAAAATACAAGAATTTTGTTTAGCTTTGGGGTTTTTTTCCCCCCCATGTTGCTCACCTGGCAATTCAGTTTAGGGTGTTACATCCCAAGAGCATTGCTTTATGATGCTGGAAAAGGCAAAGGGCAATCAGCTGATTCTGTCAGCCCACCCTTAGTTTTTTCTGGAACCTTAGAGTTTTTTGTTTTTTTTTTTTTTTAATTTGAATATAGTAAGAAGCTATATAATGAATAAGGTTATCTGTGTTTTGCACTCTTCAGATTATAACCACACTTTTTATCCCTTCACATTTAGAAAGAAATATTCGTTTTTCTAGTTATGTATTCCCTGTATTACTTTTTACTGATTTTGCTGTTCGTTTTTGCACTGAGATGGAAGTCACTTGAGAGGTTGCTTGCTGAACAACATACTTTCATTGTCTGTAGCTTTTTTTCTTTTATTCCCACCTGTAGTTTTTGATCTATTATAAATTCCTTACAGTATTTTTGAAACTGTAGTTACCTAACTGAGAATTTCAGTGGAACACAGCTTTTTCATGGCAGAACCCTACATTCTTGTCTGGCCTGTTAGGATGATGCTAAGTGGTTCTTGTCCAAATTTCTGATTGCATCAGAAAAACTGTACTCCCATTTGGAAAAAAAAAAGGGGGAGGAGCTATTTGCCATTTCAATTAACTTCAATGTGTTAAGATTTGGTTTTGTTTTTCCTGATCTACTGGAAGGTGTCCATGCCGACGACAGAAAATTTGGAACTATGTGATCTTTAAGGTCCCTTCCAACCCAAACCATTCTATGTTTCTATTAAATCTTCTTGGAGCCCAGACAGAAAGCTCCAAGGATGCAGCAGCTGTAGTGACCTCTCAGTTCTCCAGAAAACCCAGCCAGCAGCAGCAAGAATTCCCTGGAGGGATGTGATCTGCTCCTTCCAGGAAAGACTGGTCATTGTCACATACCATCCCCCAGAGAGGCATCATTAACAGGACAAAAACCCACGGTGGAAACAGAGCATTCCCACACCAGACTATGAGTGCTGTTTTTCAAAACTTTCATTTGGCAATATTCTACTATCGTGCTCCTTTTAACACAAAATTACAAATAATGCTCAAACAACATTTTGCTACTTGTGGCCAACTTCTCAGGCTTGCTCAGGATGTAGCTCTCTCACTGATGCTGGGGTCAGAGGTCATGTGCTGACTGGTTTGTGGATTTTGGCTTAACAAAAAAAACCAAATAAAAACAAACAAACAAACAAAAAAAACCACACCAAAAATACCCCCAAAAAAACAGACCAAAGCAAAAAATACCCTACACCTGAAGCTAAGGCAGTGGAACAGGAAAGTTTGAAAGTCTTCAGTTATAGCTTGGATCTTTTTCTAAACAGTATGCTGATTTCTGTCCATACTTTACAATTACCATAGTAAGAACATGAATGATCCCAAGTGTCAATTCTGTTTAAAATGAGCTTCACTTTTAATCAAGAAGTTAATTGAGAATAAGATCAAGTCTCATTTTTCCTGCATAAACTATCTAGATTAAAAGTAATGGATGAAATCTTTCTCATTCACTAAATGTATTTCTACTTCTTATAATTTACTTTCAGGAGGTTTTTTCTATTCATGTATAGTCTGGTCACAAATTAGACAGTTTGAAAAAAATTTTTTAAAAGTGAGAAATAACAGTGGAAAGAAACTTTCTTGGTGTTTTGGCTTTATTGCTGAATGAAGGTATTACACTGTATGCACTTGTACCTAACTTCATGCTAGTGACTAACAGCACAGTTCACTGGCTAATATTGACTGATTCCGTACCAATCCAGGGAAATATCTGGCTTTTTCTGTTGTCAAAATGGATCATTTCACTTCTCCAGCCTGACACCTAAACATCAGACAAATCAAGATTGTGTTTCGAGATTAACACTAGTTCATTTGTTTTCATCACCTTGCTTGCCTAGGATGAGGAGAGTCACTCTGACCTGTAATATCTAAAATTATTCTCCTTATTTTTAGAAATACATGCAGGAGGCGAGGAGTTTAGGTAAAAATTTACGGCAGCCCAAACTGTCAGACCTCTCTCCAGCTGTGATTGCACAGACCAACTGGAAATTTGTGGAAGGGCTGCTGAAGGAATGTCGCATGAAGGTAGGTCATCCCCTGGGTGCTCTCCCCTGGACTGCAGTGAGCTCAAAGAGCACCTGTTTACAGTTCTCCTGGTTTACAGCTGGAATGGCATGGTTCTTTTGGAATACCTGGTTTCTGCAGGATGGATAGCCCTGTAGTGTTTTTCAACAGCTGGAGGAGAAAGGAACATGTTTTCGCAGGAACGTGTTTTTGCTCTTCTGTTTATGCAGTTGAAGTTGATGGAAGTAGAAAGGACAGGAAGGAGATTCAGCATGATCAGACATCTTCTGGAGGATTTCCTTTAATTGTTCATATTTACATGTAATCTAAACAGAATGGCCTGGAGACCTGTGGTCAAAAGGGAAGAATTCAGCATGTATGGCTTGTGCATGTTGTTTATGCAGAGCAAATTAAGTATAAAGTTCCTGGTATTAAAGAAACTTTCATAGCCATGGACATACAACTTTTGTGTGTGTTGCAGTTGGTAGTACACTCCTTTACCTGAGTGTTAAACTTTATTAGCTGTGACAAGAATTAAAACAGAATCTAAGTAAGACTGAACATGTGTTCTGTACTCTGCTTGGTAATAAATCACCAGCATAGAAATAGGACAATGGATAAAGGGTATAGAAGTAGGACAGCTGGAATAGGCTCCCTAGGGGAGCGGTCACAGCACCAAGTCTGCCAGACTACAAGAAGTGTTTAGACAATGCTCTCAGACACATGGTGTGACTCTTGGGGCTGTCCTGTGCAGGCACAGGAGCTGAATGTGGTCTTTATGGGTCCCTCCCAACTGAGGATATTCTGTGATTCAAAGTAATGAAGCGAATTTTTATAATTATTTTTGTTAATTTACAGTCTCTGCAAATAGATTTGAAGTTTCTCTCTATTAGCCATGGTCTCTAGATTAAGCATGTGTTAGTAAACTCATCTGTAAATTCTGTTCCTTGTTGAATAACATTCTTAGAGACTGTTGGGGTCTTTTTTTTTTTTTTTATTTTTATAGACTAAACGCATGTTGGTAGAGAAAATGGGCCATGAAGCAGTTGAGCTGGGACATGGAGAAGCCAACATAACAGGTCTGGAGGAAAATACACTGATTGCCAGTCTCTGTGATCTGCTAGAAAGAATCTGGAGCCATGGTCTACAAGTCAAGCAGGTTGGTAAATACTGAAAGTCATCTCTGCTTTCTAAGCTGCTAGTCAATGGTATAACTCCAAGATAAAGCAGGAGGTGTCTTTGGGATCAGTGTCCCTGGTTCATAACGTGCAAAGGTTTCAGGAGTTTTGGGTGTTTGGGTTTTTTGAGGGGGGATTGTTTTGGAGTTTTCCCCTCTGGAAATTGCAGTGATGTTGTCAAGTACGTGTTTGGTTTGTTCCCTTTCAACCTTCACAAAGGAAACCCAGAGGGAGGACAAACAAACAAGGTGGGTGGTGTGACTGCTGAATCAGTGGGGTGGTTCTCACTTCCTGAGGTTTCATGGCCCAAGAGAGAAGGATCGGCTTTCGTTACTGAACATTTTGCCCATTCAAATGCTGTTCTATTATTCTGCCGTGTTTATTGGCCATTGCTGATTATTTTTTTGCCTGGTTTATTTAAAGCGATATTTCGCTATTCTGTTTTCAGGGGAAATCTGCATTGTGGTCCCATTTGCTTCAGTACCAGGAGAGAGAAGAGAAGCAAGAGCACAGTGCAGAGTCCCCAGGTGAGTACTTGGCTGGTGACTCCATGAGAAGTCCATCACAGCAAATGAACTCAGCCACGGGAGGAGCAGTGCAACCACATGAAACCCATGCAGGATTTTCAGTGTATTTGCTTCCAAATACCACATTTACATTTTGAGATTTTTCATAATCATTGTGGGGATGTCTTGGTGTCTGGACAAAATAGATTGAAATCACTGAAGGCAAAGGAACATAGTTTCCATTCTTGTCTGGAAAATCACTTGATGTATGTGCACTACCTTCATTCCCTTTTAATGAGCATGGAGTGAGGTATGAGAGGCAGTGTCTCCATGAGAGAGAATTTCTGAAGAAGCTGAAAGTGTGGAGCTGGGAATAAGAGGGCTGACATTTTTATTTCAGTGAGCATAATCTGTCTCTCAAATCCCAATATGAATAACTCCACATTCAGCAAATCTTTATACTGGTGGGTGGTACAGTTCAGAAGTTGTGTAGTTGATATCTGTCCATCAGTCTAGGTGCTCAATTTATGCTTTGGCTTGGCCCCTTATAATCACTAAATTACTTCTGAGAGGTTTTTTGATAACCTTGAGATGTCCCTGCCCAGTGACTGGGATGTTGTAGTAAAAGTCTCTGAACTTCAGTGGGTCTTCTTGCAAGGAGTCTCCAATTCAGATCCTGCAGATGGAAACTTGTATGATCAGTCCTCAAAGAGGCATTTATGGACAAACTAGTGTCTCCCATGAAAGGACTTTTTAATAAGCTTCAATGAGTAATGCACTAAACAATCTGGCTGGCAGGCACAAATTCCTGAGAACAAAATGTGTCACCACAAGTGGTTTGATCAGAGCAGAGCGCAGAAATGCATAGCATTCTTTGCATTGAATACGTTACTGTAGCTTAATTTTGAGTTGTTCTCAGTTGTGACCTTTCTACAGAAGCTTCTTACTAATAAAACTCACTGCTGTACAGATTTAAGTTAAGGTATTTCACACACAAAAAAAAGGAAGCCAGATGTCCCGAATGCATTGCTGGGTTAAGGAAGGAATAGGTAATATATTCAGAATTTTCATTCTGTCTACTTCTACATTTCCAGGATAGAGTTAATGACAATGCATAGAAACAGTGCAGTTACCAGCCACTTAAGATTGTTTTCAGCTGTATGTAGAACAAATGCATTGCAGACTATTACTGTAGTGTTGTGTTAACTATGTGTATTTTCTCTACTGTAGTTGGTGGTGGAACAGAAAGACGAAAGTCTGATACAGGAATTATTCTGCCTACATTGAGGGTTTCCCTGATACAAGATATGAGGTATGCAATTTGTTTCCTAAAACCTGAATTGTGGGTTTAATTGTGTAGCATAAAGTAAAGATCCTCACTGGCTTTGGGTCTACAAAGGCTAAGGAGAATTAAACCTTCTCTTCAGCCCACTTTCAAATCTACAACGTGTTGCCTTTCTGTTTTGAAAAACTTTTTTGTGTGTTCACTTGATCTTTTTTAGCGAGCAGAGAATGAAAACCACACGTATATTACTGCAATTTCTGTTTTCCCAGGGGAGTTCTTCCAGTAATAAAACCAGCTTCTACAAATAACAGCAAATAAGTTAAATTCCTTGGTATTTCCAGTTTGTTTCTTTCAGTTCATTTTTTAATTACTGACCTAGCAAGTACAGTTGATAGGCAAAGTGAAGGGACATAAAAACCAGCTCACAATGCCTGAGCAATATTCTTTCTTTTCAACTAGCATTTCATGGCAGAAGATAATAAATGTAAAAGTTTAGAAGTTCAATCTGACTAGAATTTGGGTGAGTTTAAAGCTGGGATGTGAAGTTAGGCCAGGTTCTCTCCAGTGGACCACAGCCTGGCTCTGGAGATCTTTTCAAACAGTTTGTTTGGAACCAGAAGGATTAGAGAGTCAGAAGAGGTGAAGGCTGGTGTGACACCAGCAGGCAGAAGTTCTTCAGGGCATCTCCTTGATTAAGCCACTGCCAGGTCAGGCCACTCTTTTGACACTTGTCTTGCCAGGGCTAAGGATTGCAGTGGAATAAACATGCCATGAAAAGGGGGAAGTAATGCAATAATGCTCATCTGTAAAGAGCTGAGAGCAATTAAGCATGTAAGACAACATGAGTACTGTTTCTTACGTTCTTCTTACACCTAAAAATATGGCAAAAGAACCTTAGGGTAAAAAATAAGATTATTGTAGTTAGTTCACAAAACCCTGATTAGAGTGATGTGATTTTTACTATGTGGGTTGATAGATTAGTCAGATATTTCTGGGGGAAAAAACTCACTGTACTCTCCACCTGCAGTGTGCAACCTTTTAGTTTGATGCTTTGTAGTTTGAGTCTTTTGTTCTGATTTCAAAGAGCATGACATGCCACGTACTGCTAAAACAACATGTAGAAGAGGAAGAGAGAATACATACAGTGTCATCGGGGCGTAGTGGCAAGAGGTCATTTTGAACATGTGTCTGCCATTTTAGCATCCCTCTCAGGGGATGTGGCAGCTCTCTCCTTAATTCAGTCCCGGGAGACTGACAGGCATGTAGAGGGTCAGTCTGAGGGAAGGATGAAGGAGGATCTGGAGCGGAAACTCCTGTGCTGGGGGGGGTTGCTGACAGAGGAGGCTGTGTGTGCTCACTGCTGAGTGCAGGGGTTCTGTCTTCCGCGAGCTTCCACTGGAGTCATGAAAGCCCTGCACAGATCTGAGCTTTCTTGTTTGAATCACAACAGTCTTTCTTACTGCTCTTTAGAGAAAAAGTACAGAAGCAGAACATTACCTTTTGTAATATCTTGGGTATTTGTGATTGTCCACAAACATGTCTGGTCATAGAAAAATGCTGGGCAGATGGTGAGTTGAATTTGTCGTCTGTAATCTCGAGGCATACTTTCTCCTGCTTGGAAGGTATGCTGCCTAATATTTGTTTGCACACCAGGTTGAAGTTGAAGGATGGGTAATTGTTAAATTGCAGGGCTTGTGGTGCTGACTGAACTCATGGCTGGAGGATTAAGCATTGTCTTAAGCAGGGCTTGTTTCTGATGGCTCATGCAAGTTATGTAAACAACTTAAAAGCAGGGCTGAGTCACACTCGGTCATGCTCTGAGTGTGCCACGTGCTACAGGTACCGTGGTGTGTCCTCTGCCTCCCCACCATAAGCCAGGCATCACAGATGTGGTCAGGAAGATGCCCAGGGTGTTTATTTTGGTTCTGTGCATGGAATCTCAGTGGCACAAGCCAGCCTGGGGGTTCTCTCTCCAACCTCACCCCTGGCACAGATCTGCCTCATCTCTCCAACCCCTCTTCCAGCTAGAGCCTGCTTCGAGCATGACCTCACCCTTCAGGTATTGCTGAGCATCCAACCAAGCCAGTCAATATCAAGGCCTCCCCAAAACCTTTGGTCCAGCTGGATTCAAGTTTCTGATCCTTCCTCTTTGGGCAAGCTCTTCCTTGCTATCAGCACTTGCTCTCATGCCCATGTCATGCCTCCCTCCTCAGGGAGCTTGCACTGGAGGATGTGAGCTGGCCACTGGGCCCTCAGCAGAGATGCTTAACCTGCTGTGTTCAAAAAGAAGGCTGAGCAAAGACCTGCTGCCTGCCTGGGATGAGCTATAGGCTCCTTCCTGACCGTGCTGCCATGGGAGCATGCCCAGCATCCCCGGAGCACGGCGGTGCTGGGAGCTGTAACCTCTGCTGTCAGCACAGCTGTTTGCACAGGGTTTGTCTCACCATACCCCAGGCTTACATTTGACAGGGCAAATAGATTTTTCTTTATTACTAATGGGATTAAAAGCAAGTCCAGACCAGGGGAGTTGCATCGAAATGGCTGTTCAGTGCTATGAGAAGAAGAATTTGCTGTGCAGTGGTGAGCATACGGTGCTTACACTTAGGTCACCGATAAAAATAGAGCTGTTCTGACTCTCACAACTGACAGTGAAATAAATTTGGGTTCCTGCATGCTCTGTTCTGTTATGCTCTGCTTTTGCTGACACCAAGACTGATTACTGAATCTTTTTAATATCTCTGGCAAGCTGCATGCTTGCAGATATTCATTTTTTTCCCCCAAATGCGCAATTAATGCTTATCTAGTCTGAACCAGACACAGGTAATGAAGAGGCACAGAACGTGCATGGAATAAGGTTGCGTCCATCTGTACTTGAATCTTCTCACAGTGAAATAACATATTCTGCTCAGTGTTTCATATTAGATGTAATTCAAGCTGAGCACTCAGGGGGAAGGGAGGGAGATGATAGTCTGTGCTTTGATCTTCCCATCTCAAAAGGCTTGAAATGTCTGAGGAGAGTGTCTCAACGTGATGTAGTTGACTGTAGCATGCATCCTGTTTCTCAAGGACTACAGCTCACGTGTCCAGCTCTCTGCTGGAAAGTCTAATGCCAGCTGTCATGCTCTGAGCCAGGAAGGGCTTTCCCATGCCAGGAGCAAGGCTTCAGCCTTGCAGGTCAGCCTGGCACAGAGCAGGGCTGCTGGGCTCTGTATGCTCTTCATTTGTGCAGAGAAAGCTCCTATTTCTGGACAGCTCCAAGTTGTTCTTTGCAAATTTGCCCTAGAGGTCCTGGGCCTGCTCCTTTAGAGGCTCTATGAACAAGAGAGTAGTTTGCTCAAATAATGCAGGGACTAAATATAACACAAAGCACACACTTGGATGTAACAGATGGGGGAAAGCACGAGACTATAGCAGTCAATGTAGAAAGCATCAGTCACAGCATGACTTTGCTGGATTTCTTTTGGAGTAAATATTGCCACATTCCACAACACTCAGCAATGTGTGGAGAGCTGTCAAGGAAGTTGCAGGAGTTGGACAGTAAATTGCAAGTGGGATTAGTTCAGACTTCAGCTGATGGTACTTGGAGCCTGCCATGGATTTGGAGGGCTGAATTGCCTGTGCACTTAACATGCAGACTGCTCGAAAATTAAGAAATTTGAGCCTTTTCTTTCCCCTGCTGAAAACTGTTACTCATTTATCTTGTTTTTTATTTAACCAAGTGGGGAGTTTTTGGAAGCAACTTTGTCCTGCCATGGCAGTTCTCTTCCTCTTCTAAAACTCTCTGTGCTCTAAAGCTAGAGTTTTTGGCATTCTCCAAACTGAAATGTGGGAAGCTTAAAAAAAAAGAAAAAAGAAAAGCACAACTGTAGAAGAAAGCCCCTATGGAACAGTTCTACTTTCCTACAGATGAAACATATGGAGGGCTGTTCAAATTATCACTTACAGGAAGGCTTCTTATATTCCTAAAAATGTGGTTCTGCTTGCAGCTTCCTGCTGCTGTTTTTGCCTCAGCAGTCCTCTTTTTCTCAGTTGTGTCATTGCTGCTGCTCTCAAGGGGTTTTGTTAGAACCTTCAGAGCCACTGTGGCTTGGAGAAACGCTCAGGACATGTGTTTGTCCTCTGCCCTCCCAGACACACTCGTTCAAGTCCGCAGCTTGAGGTGGCAGCTGAGATGTAACTGGGTCTCACAAGGTGCCTGTTTTTTTTAAGTCCTACCAGTGTCCATGAGAACGGCTACCTCGGGCAATGCAGGGGTAAACAGGTTTACCCCTCCTCACCTTGGCCAGGCAACCACAGAGCTGGGCTGCCATGCCCAGGAAAAGCTGCCACGTGTGCTCGTGCCAGCCTGGGGCTGCCAGGGATCTCATTGCCACAGTGCAGGTTTCTGGGGGCCCTGCTGGGGAGCTCTCCAGAAATTATGTCAGAAGACATTTTCCAGTTCACTTGCTGCATCATCACACTGGATGTTGCCATTTGAAGCATGCAGAATTTTTATGATTCATCTATTTATTTTTTTCCCCACATATTTCAGGCACGTTCAGAACATGAGTGAGATAAAGACTGATGTGGGGCGAGCCCGAGCCTGGATAAGACTTTCTCTGGAGAAGAAGCTTTTGTCTCAGCACCTGAAGCAGCTGCTTTCCAACCAGGCACTTGCAAAGTAAGCCAGCTCTTTTTCTTCAAACCTTCACTTTCATCTTGTGAAGGTGGTGTCTCAAGGTGCTGCTGCTTGGGATACAGCCAGGCATCCTGTTTGGGTACTGTGGTTTCCAGCTAGAAGTGATTGAAGGGCAGGGGAGAGCTGGGAGAGGTGTACTGCCCACCCAGCAGGGCAAAAGTCTGCTCATCTGCATGGAAAGCATGTCACAGATTTCAGGAAGGAGGCATTAGTTGTTGGTCAGATCCCTGCACTGATCCTGGCCACTCTACAGATCTTGAGCTGACAGAGTGGTGGGAGCACCCAGCTGCTGCTTGGTGAGTTCTGCTGTGTTTTCTGTCACAGTGGGGAGCAGCAGGAACATGTGGTCATTAAATGAGACCATTCTACAGTGGGAGGGTATGGGGAAGAAATGAGGTTGCTGTGTGTTGGTTCAGATCTGCTGCTGTGAGTAGTGTTAGTTTTTACCTGTGCTTTGCAGCAAACCCCAAACTGAGATGAACTCAGCAGCCTTGCTGTGGGAGTGTGGAGCCAAGAGTGCTCTGTAAAACATCTGTAGCACATTTACATGTCCTCTGTGGGTTTCTAGCAGCTTCTGTTGTTGGGGAGTCATACCTCCCATTAAGAGCCACTCTTCATTTGGTGTTTTGAGATTCAAACACCTTTTTAAGATACTTGGTGCTTTTTCAACAGCAACGACAAAAATGCCATGTGCTTGTTTCTCCCAGGAAACTTTACAAGCGTTACGCTTTCCTGCGCTGTGAAGAAGAACGGGAACAGTTTCTGTATCACCTGCTCTCACTCAATGCTGTGGATTACTTCTGCTTCACAAGTGTCTTCACTACAATCAGTGAGTTGGAGAATCAATTTTTTTCCCCCCTGACTAAAAATTAGTTGCTGTCATGGTTTGTAAGAGCTGATGTTGCTGGTGCCTGAGTAGCTGAGCCCTTATCTGGGAGCCTTGGTTGTTGCTGCAGGGCTCCTGGGTGCTGGGTGTTGCTCTGGGAAACCAGCTGGAGAGCCAAGGTTGTGTGGGAGTGCTCTGGATAAGAGCATTGTACACAAAGGAGAGTAATCAGCAGGGAGTGCTGCTCTCTGTGTAGTTCCTTTCACCTTCCCTCCCAGGAAAGTCCTCTATCTCCTAATGCTTCTTTCTGGTCTTCATTAAGTGTGCATCCTAGCAGTCTGCGCTCCTCAGACTGAGGAGGAGATGGAAGATTGGAGGATGAAATGCTTTGTGCTCCTCTTTGTATCATAAATCTCTTTTTGTCTCTTCTTAAATGCCAGAAGGATTCCCTTTCTCACTCTCTCTTGTAAGGAGAAGAGCAGAGATTGGATTGATATCTGGAAATGAATCTTTGTCTCTCCAGTACTAGACAGTGCAGAAAAAGCAAGATCCCATTAGATGACCTAATTATTTGGATTCACCTGGGCAGCCATTATTTTTCATTTTCCTGCCTGTTCAGAGTGAAGTGAAGCAAGTTTTACATGGCTGTCAAAACAGGCACTCATTCTACTTTTTCTCCTCTTAAAGCAATAAATCCCTCATAACTACCACAGCACAAAGAGATCTATTCATCCTTGATTACCTTATTTCTGTGGGGCATCCAGCTTAACAGCTTTCTTCTGTAGGACAAGTGCTTGGAATTTGAGGGTATTTTTTGAGTGCAGTATGATTGGCTGGCACACAAAAGTCGAAGAGGCTGGCTTAGCTTCCCCAGTCCTAAAGGCAGCTTGTGAAACATATGGGAAGAGTGGGTCTTGCGGTGCTGGAGGTGCAGTGTCAGAGTCAAATCCAAATTGGGGTGGGTGGCAGTCCATGTCTTCAGCATGAAAATCAGAAGAGTAAGAGAATAAGAACAGGAATAAGAATAGAGAGGGGGATGTCCACAGAGACACACCAGACCTGAGAGTCTGGCTGTGGTGTCAGCAGCCGTGCCAGCATTTCCTGTTGCAGCATTTCAGTACTTGAAGGAGGCCTATACAAAAGATGGGTACCAACAGTTTATCATTTACCTGTTGCAGTAGGACAAGGGGTGATGCTTTTAAACTAAAAGGGGGTCAGTTTAGGCTAGATATAAGGAAGAAGGTTTTTTTACATTTTGGGTCGTGAGACCGTGGCACAGGATGGGATGCCCCATCCCTGGGAGCGTTCAAGGTCAGCTTGGACGGGGCTGCGAGCAGTCTGCTCTGGTTGAAGCTGACCCTGCTCACTGCAGGACTAGATGGCTTCTAAAGGCTGCTCCCAGAGCAGCTGTAGCGCGGCCGTGCCCTCCTCCGCCGTGCCCTGCCCGTCCTCCCGCGGCGCTCGGCGCCGGCTGTGCCGCGGGGCTGCAGCTCCCCCGTGCGGCCCCGCTGCCCTTCGCCCGGGGCTGCCTTCGCTCCCCGCACAGGCAGAGAGCTGGCCTTCGAGGGAAAGGCCCCAGAAATTGCCATTGCTGTAAAAAAAAAAAAAAAATAGAAAAAATAGATCAAGACTAACGCACTTCCCCCTCTGCCTGTTCTCAGTGATCCCTTACAGGTCAGTGATAATTCCCATCAAAAAACTAAGCAATGCAATAACCACATCAAACCCGTGGATATGTGTGTCAGGAGAGCTGGGAGACAGTGGCGTCATGCAGATTCCTAAAAACCACCTAGAAATGACGTTTGAGGTGAGTACATGCTCTTCACGTTTTCCTTACGATTTGAAACTTGCTTCCAAATAAATATTTATTTGTTAAGGGGTTTTTAAGAGCACAGCATTTCAGATTCTGTCCTGATTTTCAGCATCACTGTAGGTTCAAATATGTACAGGAAAATAGCCTGCCCCTCTTGTGTGCGATGAAGGTTTCCTGTGAGCACACATCATTTTAACCACAGGCCTTGCTGCTGTCCTTGACCAGCCCAGAATTCCTCACCTTGCCTGTCTATCTCCACATCTCATTCCCTTCCACAGCTCCTTGCCTAATTTTCCTTTTCAGTACTTATTTCCAAATCCTCATCTCTCTTCCAACTTTCTTTTCCGTTCTTTCACTGTCTTTCCACTAACCACCACCCAGGTCCCTTTTGACCTCTGGCCAGTCCCAAATTTCTTCTGAGCCCATTTTCTGGCATTGCTCTTCAACATCCCAGCCTCAGGCGCTGTCCCTGGCATGCCAGGAGCTGCTGTCCCCACTGGGCTCTCTCCCTGGGCTTGCTGGGGTTTTCTCTTTGCTTTCCCACCCAGCAATTACAGCCTGGCTCGGTGCCATGCCAAAGCAGCTGGTGGAGGGAATTGCAGGGAAAGCCCCATCAAGCTCCTCTAGCTCCGGGCTGTACCATATCCATTAAGAAGTCATTTTGTAGGAAAATCTGCTACTGAAATTGAGGTTGCATCCACTGGGCATATGCAGACTGATCTTCAACAACAATAGCAAAAAAAGCCTCTTGCCAAATACAGGTTGATTTTGACAAAGAGAGGATATTTTTGAGATAAATGCCCACATCTCATTCAGATATTACTGTTTTGTAGAAAAGATCTCCAGGCTTCTAACAGGCAAAATGACATATTTAGATATTTTAAGCACCATATTGATTCTGTTCTGGATTATTCCTTTGGCTGAAGCTTTCCTAAAATATCAACTTGGGTAGCCACCCACTTGTAGAAAATGTCAGCCCAAGCTGCTTGTTTGGCAGCATCTGAAGCAGTGAAAACCAAGGTATTTCAAGGGAAGGGTTTGGGTGACTTAACAGATGTTGTTGCCAGCCCCATCTACAATTGTATCTTGCACTGGAATTCACAGTGCCTTCTTCTCTGTCTTTCTGATGCTGAGTCTCCTGTTAGTGATTTTTGTTTGGGCCAACAATAAGCAAATCAATCTTAGAAAATAATAAAGGATCTGGGGACTGCTGCGTAGTGTGGAGTGAGTCAGCTGGAGGTCAGTATGCTCCAAATGGATTTTTGAAAAGCTGTTTGTATGGAAGATCTATTTCTTCTGCAGAAGCACACCTTTTTATCACCTTACTCAGAAATGTGTAATTAATACTTCTCAGAAATATTCAGAGTGAGTGCTCCCAACAAAGAATGTCATCTCTCCACAAGCTTTTAACAGTTTTATTTCTTTTCTCTTGTCTTGAAATAATTATGCTGCTTTTGCAAATACTCTGTGTGTTTGGTTGAAAATACTTGTTCTGTAAATCAAAGAACTAGAAAACCGAATAAAAGCCTATATTTGACCATATGTGTGCATGTGGTGGGGGTGTGTGTTGTCTGTTCTTTTTTAAATGAAGCAAAAACTGTTACTCATTTCAGTGCCAGAACTTGGGGAAGCTGACGACTGTTCAGATTGGTCATGACAACTCAGGGCTGCTGGCCAAGTGGCTAGTTGATTGTGTCATGGTCAGGAATGAAATAACAGGACACACGTACAAGTAAGCAACAAGTAATAATTTTCCTTGTCTGAAATTCCTGTTGAGTTTAGAGGAAGCAAGAAGGCATTCACCTTCTCCTTAACTCTGATTGCAGCTGATTTCGGTCCCTGATAGGGTTGGTCTCCCCCACCTCCCTCGTTCTCTCATTTCAGTAGCCCTAGTTGAAGTCAGATAATCTGATAAATATTTAATGAGATTTGAATGCAGGATTTTCTTTGCATCTTTCTGAGACAGGACAGATATGTCCTGTCTCAGAAAGTATGGATACTTTTGAAGTGATTTGTATGTTTGTGTCTAATAATTAGATCTCTTGTTTTAAATTAGTGTGGTAAAATTGTGCACAAATCAACTCTTGAAACTCTAAGAACTGAAATGACAGTCTGGGGAAAATATTAACAAAATAAGTTTTGATGATTTCTTAATCTTACATTAAGCACATTCCTGTGTGTCAAAATGTTCTCCTAATTCACCATTGGTTTTACAAAACGTGGCTAAGCAGACAGAGTTTTTTTTTAAAAATGTGAACTCAGAGAACTGCAATTCAGAGAGGTGAGCTCCAGATCTCAAAGTTGGCCACAGTGTACAGGGGAAAGTAGGAGAACATGGGATAAAATGACTGGGTATGGACGTGTGCATGGATTTCATTAGGGTTGTGGATGGGATCCAAAGGTACAGCAGTAAAATGTGAGGTGAGGTCTGAGTATGAGGAGATGTCACAGCCTCAGCTGGGTGGAATTTCTGTGGGGATTTGGTTGTTAATCATCACAATGCTCTTAAAGGCTGCATATAGTTGTGGCTGCAAGCGCAAAATAACTTGGCAGAAAACAAGATGCAGACCATAAAGTACGTGTAACACAAGCTTTGCATATTTCCCTATTTCTAAGGATGCTCAGTTGTGGTGCAGGGGCTGCTCCTGCAGATCTCTGCTTGGTGAGAATTTTCTGGGAGCCAAGTATTCCGTGCCTGTTAGCAGTGTTTGTTGGGTGCCAGCTGTCCCCCAGCTTTGAGACCAGGCTGTGCTCTGTGTGTGGCTGAGCTCTGCTTGTCCTGGGCACGCTGCAGGTTCCCCTGTGGGCGGTGGCTGGGAAAAGGCGTGGATGATGGCAGTCTGGAGCGAATCCTCATTGGAGAGCTGGTGTCCTCCACCTCTGACGAAGAGCTGGGAAAGCAGTGCCGCACCCCGCCCCAGCAGAAGTCTCCCACTGTGACTCGGCGGCTGAGCATCACTTCCCTCACAGGGAGGAACACCAGTAAGTTCTTGCCTTCCTCCCCAGGGTCATAGGGAAGGGGTCAGCTGCCAACTGCTGGGGAAAAAAAGCTTCTGTGAGCAGGAGGGTTCATCCTGAAGCAAGGCTTGGTGCAGAGCAGCAGCCGCAAGCCGATGAGCTTTTCCTGCCTTCCCTGGTTGGTGTTTGCCCTGTGACGTACATGTTGCCTCTTTCAATGTCCCCTTTTGACTGTTGAGAGATAGTAATCTCTTTCTTTGGAGCATGGAGATATGAGGGAGGAGGAGGCAGCAGAATTTGCAGTAGCTGATGCTGCTCAGCCTCCCAGCTCACTTTGCAGTCTGTGGGAAGACAGGCCTCTCTGAGGGCAGCTCAGAGCTTGATGTGGCTGCTGTGAGCTGCCTTCTGGCAAAGCTTATCTCTGCAGGGACCCTAGGGCACATCGACCTCACATCCCTAAAATTAGCTTTTATGAGTAACTGCACTTGGCTGCAACAGGACACGGGACTGTGAGGGTCACACGAGGCGTTCTCTGCTAAAGCACAGAGATGGGACAGTGTAGATCCTATTCATACGTCTGTCCAGCTCCTGTAAAATTAGAGGACATGAGTGCTGAAATGTCAGGCAAGCAAAGATTAACCTTCAGCTAGTCTGCTCTCCCATCATTTCACAGAGCCTAATGCAGGGCAGATCCAAGAGGGAATCGGGGAAGCTGTGAACAACATTGTGAAACACTTCCACAAGCCAGAGAAAGAGGTAATTCCTACTTTTCATTACTTGCCTGCCAATTTTTATAAACAGAAATGGCACTAAAGTACCAGTAGATATACTGCCTTTAGATCTGAAGTTTCTGGCATCCAAACTTACCTGCTCTCCCTTTTCCACAGAGAGGGAGCCTTACCATTCTGTTGTGTGGAGAAAACGGTCTGGTTGCAGCACTAGAGCAGGTCTTCCACCATGGATTCAAATCAGCTCGCATTTTTCATAAGAATGTCTTCATCTGGGATTTCATAGGTAAGCTGGTAGATGATTTGGAGGAGAAGGTTTAGGGCAAAATAACTCCTCACATGCAGACGTTGGATCCTCATCAGCTAGGGTGCCATTTCTCCTGCCAAGCACCTGCTCCAGGTTGCTTAAAGTCAATGAGAAACCTGATGGCAGATGAGAAGTACTAAACTGTGTAAAAGAGTGTGAGTCTGTGCAGAAATGTAAGAGTTCCTAGTCCAAACGCCTGCTTTTCTGAGAGAAACAAGCTAGGCTGCATGTTTGAGTAAAGGAGCAATCATTGTTAGGGGGAGAACTAGGAAAGGGCAGGGAGTGAAAGGTTTGGATTCCTGGTTTAGGAGAACTCTCCTAATCATTGCACTGGTGATCCCAACCTGTAGGCCTATGTAGGGGTAATTTAAGATGTACTTCCTCCCTTAGAACAGGCTTGCAGGCAGAGATGCCCAGCCTGAGGGGAAGTGCTTACTCAGAAAAAGTGAAAAATCAATGCTGATGGTATCACTTACAGTGAAACCATTGAGGGGTGCTCTAGTGCTGCTCCTTGGTGTTACCTGTGTTAGACATCAACCAGACTGACCAGTGCTATGCCATGGCAAAGGTGGAGGTGACCACCTACCTGTGGTCTTCAGAGTCAGGAATTCATAGATAAACTGTGGAATAGCTCTCAGCAGGTTGGTTTTTTAAGGATTCCCTCGTGTGATTCCGTGTCACAATGAAGTGCTTCTTCTCACTGGATTCTGATGTTCTCCCTACCACAGAGAAAGCTGTTGCTTACTTTGAAACCAGTGATCAGATTGGAGACAATGAGGAGGCCCTTTTGCTTCAGAGATCTTCATGCAAAACTTTCTGTCATTATGTCAATGCCATCAATACAGCTCCAAGGAACATTGGAAAGGATGGCAAATTCCAAATCCTGGTTTGCCTGGGGACAAGGTATCCAACTGCTCTTCATTATGTGTGTCTTCTGGCATGAGACTAGAAGAATATTTTTCCACCGTTGTTATTACCTTTAATTTTCCATTTTAAGACATCTCACACCTATCTATTATCCAGTACCTATTTTAGGCAGCTTTAGTTCTACGTCAAAAATTGGAGCAAAGAAGCACTAATAATACATGGCTAGTGTCTAAACTGCTAAAAATGTTTTGAGCTTTTTTATAGCTGTTAGCTTGACAGTCATGTGTATGAAATCTGTCTTGAAATGCTATTTTTGATGTACTGACTTTGGGAATGCAGAGTTCCTTTTCAGGAGCTGATGAATTTCTAAATCCTCATTCAATTGCTTGTGAAAATGGGGTGCCTGTTACAATTTTGACAGAACTGTTCAAGATGAACCTTTCTTTCCTAATAGGGTGCTTTCTGTCTTGCACTTGGGGAGGGGGGTGGGAGGGTGGGACTTAGTTTTATTTTGGAGGGTAGAAGTTGGTATATCTAGAAATAAGTACCATTTTTGTCTTATCTGTCTGGATACTTGGAAAACCAGTTGGCAAATATTCTGTCAGATTTTCCTTGAGTTTTAGTTTCCTTGTTCCTGATCTGAAAATGTTCCTGAATTCTTACAAATGTCCAAGTCTGCTAATACCTTTAAATTTTCATTTCTACAGTAGGTAGTATTTTACTAACCAAATCAAGGGTTGCGATTGCACAGCAAGCTTGTACGTGCAAACAACACCCACCGCTCACCAAAAGGGGCTGCATGTTTTGGGTTGTGCTCTTGGGGAGGAATTCCAGTGTGATATCTTGGTACTTGGTGCTAAAACAGTTCCTGTCCTGGCCTTTTCAGGGACCACTTGCTGCCTCAGTGGATCCCGCTGCTGGCGGAGTGCCCGCCCATCACGAGGATGTACGAGGAGAACGCTCTCCTCCGGGACCGCATGACTGTCAACTCCCTTATCCGAGTGCTGCAGACATTGCAAGATTTCAACATCATCCTAGAAGGATCGCTCATTAAAGGAGTGGATGTTTAGCATGGCTTTGCTGAGAACTTCATTGCTCCTTTCCCAAACAAGCAAACCACAATTGGAGACCTGTCAGGACTTGAATGCCATGGTAGTGCACCACTGTAAGGCAAAGCTACTGGTGGAAGCAGGATTGGGAAGCTCAGTTTGTGCCCGATGGGGACTGGCCTCTAAAGCTGCAGAAAGCTAAGATGCAGTATTGTAGTTTATTTGAAACAGAAATTTAGTACAAAAAATAGAGTATTTTCATGTGTTAGATGTGTGTAAATATGCTATCTTTCTTTAAGAAATTATATTACTCTAAGAAATTTTTCTTAGAGTGAATGTTCTTGTTCTGACTATGAGTAGCTTAAACCCAGGGGAAGGACTTGGGGGAGGGAGGGAAGGACCAAGGTGGGAAGGGATGCCGCTACTTGCTTGCGAGGAAGAAGCCAATTAACGTGTAAATACAGTGCAAACTCAGCAGGGCTTTTTTCAGGTATTGCAAATTAATACAGCAAATATCCTTATGTAGCCATTGTGATCGTGTCACTCTTGGAAATGCTGTAAGCATATGCTGGTCTACCCTGCTGTACATGGTCTCTCTTAGTTTGTTGTTTGTTCAAAGACTCACCTTCCCATGCATGGAAGTAGTGAGTTGCTTTTTTTTTTTCTGTAAGGTCTTTTGTGTCACTCCTGTTGATCTCCAAAAGGGGAGACAAGTGTTGGAATGCTTAAACACTGGAGAGAAGGACTGCTGTCAGCCGGAGAGGATGAGACACCTGTTGAAGCCTTGCTGCTGCAGCCTGAGATGAGGAATGGTGGCTTGCGTGACTTGCTCAGTGTGTCCCTTCCCTGTCTAGATGTTCTCATGATTCTCCCTCAGCCACTTTGTGTTGTGGATGACCTTTTTTTTTTTTCCTCCTGATGAAGAATTTGGTTTATGCCAAATTCTTGCTGTACTTGAGAAGAATCATTGCTGTAGAGCAACAAACACTGCTGTTGCTGTGCTACCAAACTGTATCAGCAGGCTTTGAAACGCTGACAGGTTGTGAGTCTTCCTTTATCCTGCAGAATGAGTGATCCTAGGGGAGTACAGGATCTTATCTTAGATGGCTTTTTTTTTTTTTTTAATTATCCAGCTACAAAAAGAAAAGGAATTAAAGACATAAGGCAAAAGGAGGAAAAATAATCTCACGCTGGTATTTTGAGGCTTCTCTCCTACACTTTCCAGTTAATATGTTACTAATACAGTGCATATGTGGAGATACAGTTCTTGATGAAATGCTGGGAGCAACTGTATGGTACAAATTGAACAAGAGATTATATCAAAATCACCTTGTGAATACCATGCAGCAAATACAGAGTGTATTTTCCATTGTTGTGGATGGGAGTTGGAAGGGTCTGATGACACAGTTAGCTTCACCTGATTTTAATTTTTGGAAGTTAGTTTAAATACAGGTTTTTGTTTTCACTTGTTTGTTCCCTACAATCTTGGGCCTTTGGTCAGTGGATTCTTTGGAGGTCTCACTGTCAGCTGAGGCTTGGGAAAGGCCCCTGACTGGTTCTGTAAGTGTGCTGCCTTGCACTGTGCTCTCAGGTGGCATCAGGAGGGGCTGTGCAATGGTGGACAGTGGCAGGTCTTCTTCCTTGTCTCCCATCCCTCTTTCCACCATAGTGTGCACATGGTAGAAAGAGGGATGGGAGATAAGGAAGAAGAAAGAGGATGAAAATTAGGGTTTGCTTTTCTCACCTGCCTTTTGTCAAGCTTCTCTACTTTCCTGTGGTCCCTCTGCTGCTCAGAACAGCACTCAATTCAGTGTCAAAGTTTCATGTCAGACTCCCAGCCAGAAGAAAACTCTTCATGTAACTCTGTTTCTTTGGGGAGTTTTATGTTATAGAAGTCTTTTTGTTTCTAGGAAAGAAGTAAAATAACACTGTCAAGGAGCCTTCCATTTTAATGAGAGTTCCGGCTTTCAATAACCGTTCTTTCCTCCTGAGCTTGTGCTTCCTTAAACTGACTGAACTCATCCCAAATACTGCAGGCAGCACTGCCATGTCACTGCTGTGGGTGTGAGTAACTAATGTAAAGGCTGTGAATGTTGTCTGAGTTAGTAGCCAGAGCCCACAGCTGTGTGACATCTCTTACATTTCCAGAAATGTGAAATTTGGGGTGTTAGGATTTTCTGTGTGGCCAGGCATGTCTGCTTAAAGTCAGCAGACAAAGCATGACAGCCCTTCAGCAGCAATTGAAAATGTGTCCCTGTACTTAACTCTATCAATGAATTATACATTTAGCACCAGAAACCATGTGGCAGCATTATTTGGTAATGACTGCTTAGGATGTTTTGATTTCTATTACAACTCAGGCCTTTCATGTCTAATGACTGCTGTACAGGATTTTTTCACACCCAGCCCAGTCTAAGTGGCTTTCATTTTACTGAAATAACCACCTCTTTAGTCCTTGGATTATTCACAGCATCATCTGCATTTGCAGGATGGATGTTTCCCAAAGTACATTGCTGCAGACTTCTCCAAAAGCCGTATGACTGGCGCAGTTGTAACATTCATCTGACGTGACGCGGGTTAAGTGCAAGCAGGATAAAGGAGAAATGCACCTCTAAAGGTCATTCATTTAAATTAATAAACCACATACAGAGAAAAAAGGCAATAACTACATTAAGTCTTTCTTAAGTTAAAAGGAGTCAAAACCTGAGAATTTTTAAAATTCAGATCAGGGCCTTCCCCCATTTCTGACTACATTAAGAAACCTTTAGCACTTAACACAACTTCACCTCAGCTTTTTCAGCAAGTGTTGACTTGTTTGGTTTTGTCAGGTTTCACATCATATTAATAATAATAATACAATAAAAACTATGTGTGTCTCATGTTTCCTTGTAGGCAATAAACCACCCCAAGATACGTTGAAAGGGGCACAGCTGAGTGCCTCAGATTCCTAGAGTAGTTATTTGACAACCTTGGGAGAATGGTTCTTCATAGTGAATTTTTATTCTACTGTGTATGATTTTTTTTTTAATGGACTGCTTTTGTTGATTGGAAACTGTGAGGTTTTTTTCTGTAAGGTTTACAGAAATTATTCTACCCACTAGAATGGTGAGAAACCCATCAGGATTCTTCTAAGCTAACACAGCTTTTATTTCAGTGTTAAAGCACCTTCTTTGGTTGAGAAAGGGAATCTTGGAAAAGACCAAAGCTCTCTGGTATCTGCTTTGTAAAAAAAAAAACAAAAAAATTCCTATCCAATGCCCATCTTGGAATGTCTGAGTTTGCATAGTCCAGTTGTACTAACAGCCAGCATGGTAACTTGAGGGAGTCAGAGAATCTAATGCCTCACTGTGTACAAAATGTGTATTTATAATTCTCTGAAATAAATGAAGTTGTACTGTTTAGTGAATAATCTCATGTTTATTCCAAGTTGGTTTGTGAAATTAGCTATCATTGTTCAAACACAATTTTAGTGGTTTTAGGGTAGTTGCGCGGCAGGTTTGGGAGAATTCCTGCTTTCAATCAAATGAAGGTGCGCATCGTGAGGGGAAGTGTTGTGTGTTACACTTGAAATGTACAAATGTGCCCTGTATAGCTTAAAATGATTCCTAAATGTCTCCATTAAGTATATTTTGTCTTTACATTATTACTAATGGAATAAGAACTGGATTATTTTCAAGACAACATTAGTAAAAGTATTGTTATATCAAGCACTTTAACATACACACCACAAACCGACATGGGTTTTTCAGGTTTTGAAGTACATTGAAATACAGCTTTTCATGCTATGTCCTTTACAAATAAAACTGTGACAATAATGGTTGGTGTCACTTTCTCCTTGCAGAGGAACCAAGAGATTTGGGTCTCAAGCTGAGGAGCTGATCTGAGCCTGGAGGGAGCAAACCAAACAGCGATCCAGGCGTTGGTGACTCTGGTACTGGGAACTTGCTGGAGCAAAGCTGGGGAGAAGGGGGTGTGAGGGACTGTTCCCAAAATCAGCCCTTCTGCCTCCCCAGCACAAAGGGAGGCAGAGACCATGCTGAGCCCAAGAAGCTCTCTATTCCAAGGCTTGGGTGGAAAATGTGGTTGATTACAGGGAAGAAATGGGATCACAGTGAAGCTGAGCTCTTACCAGGGTGCCGTTTGCTCGGCAACTGGGATTGCTTTGCCCTTGGTATCTGGAGGAGTGGGGAGAAGGAGGATGGGATTAACTTGTAGCAAAGGGTCTCTTTCTTCTCTTGATATGAGTTGCTCTGATATTTGAACTCAGGGTTAGAATGCTGGGATGAAGCTCGTGCTCTCCAGTCTGTCAGGCAGCATGTTGTGGAAGGAGGAGGTTTGATGGATGAGAGAGAGATGGATGCCTACAACAAAAAAGGTGCAAAGAGAAAAAAAGAAAAGATAGTGAAATGCCCTCTATTCTAAGTTGGACTAGATTTTCAGAAATTTTCCCCATGTCCCTCCCAGCTTCAGATATGCTGGAATTGGCAAAAATAGGAGAATTTTTGGAAACTTTGATAGTTTGAAATGCAGAGCCCTGCATGAGTGTGTGCATGGCACGTCTGAGGTGCAGCATGTCTGTTCATTTACTTGAACTCTCTGCTTAGAGAGGCAGAGAATCTCAGGAAAGGACTGAAGGTCTCAGAGCTTGGGACCATAGATGTGGAAATTCTGAAATATATTGTGTGAGATACTGGTGCTTATCAACATTATAGATGTGAATAAAATCTACAGAGCTGCTTATTGCCAAATATCAGTGGGTGGCCATACCTTTCCACCTCCTTACTAAATGTGTGTAAATTAGAGATAGTGAGGTCTGACATCTTAAAGGCAGTCAGTACTTGAAGTAGGGCAGAACTAAGCTTGTCCAGGTGAGCAGGTGCAAATAACTTCCTCTCCACTGTGCTGTCATTGATGCAGTCTGGGAGCACTAGAGTGTTTTCTGCAAAGGAGGAATAGAAGAAAACTGAGAAAACTGACATGGGTAGGAGTTGAAGTAGCTCGTCAGTCTGGTTTGTTCCTTTCCAGCATTTTGGGTAGGCTTGTTCAATAAAAAAAAAAAAAAATTAGTGTTCAGTGAAATGGTGAGTGAAACTGCTTCTCTGTCTGTCACCCCATCAGCTCAGAGGCTGAGGCTCCTGTGGCTGCAGTCAGGGAGCATTTCATTGCTGACATTCCTGATTTCTCTCCTGCTATTCTGTCAGCCATGTATGCTGAGCTGTTTGGAGCCCAGCACAGGGTGTGAGGGGAATGGGAAAATTCCTGTACGGGTCTGCTATCTGGTGGCTGGTTATGGTAAACTCTCTGCTGAAGCCACTGCAGAGCTGATTTGTCAGTGGGGAGCTGCAGTGGCTCTGCAGGGAGGCTTGACACTTCACAGGGCCCATCTGCATTCCCTGTAGACCTCACAGGGCATCTCAGATCCTCTGAACGAACTTCCTCTGTCAGAATGTGACCAGGCCAATTATTTTTGCCTTGAACCAAGCCCACCTTTGTCCTGAGGGGAGGGAGGGAAAAGCCTTAGGAGGAACCACAGCCAGCGCCCCTGATCTTTACCCACAGTGTATTTTTCATGCTGAAAAGGAGCTCACTGCTAGGTGGTCTAATGACTACCTTGTTACCATTCAGTAATGGATTCAGTGGGGTCCATAAATGTAAAATAGCTGTGGTTTGTATAAGAGAGGCTCAGGTGTTCACACCAGTCACTGAGTATTAGAATAATCTGTAAGAGATGTCCCCATCTTTACACAGGACTTTCAGTGGCAGAGTTTCAGCTGCTCCCATGGCCAGCTTATACAAGTCTAAACTAAAATTAATAGCAGCCAGATGTTGTATTTGGTGCTCTGCAATCCTTGCATTCTCCTGCTTTCAAAGAGAGGTTTCCACAAAGGCTGGTGCTAGCCTAGGAAAGCCATTTGCATTACCCTGCCCCTGCAGCCAGTGGGAAGTGATGGCCTTGCAAGGAGAAACCTCACCTAGCTGCTTTTAATTATGCCTAAAGAAGTCCAACAGAGGCAGCTTGCCCTTGGAGGCTGTGCAAGCATTAATCTTTATGAATATTCCCACCAGCGCTGTCCTCCTGACAGAGTTCATTCCTTCAAAGTCACCCAAGTGATACATTGTGGTACATTTACATATCACAAAAATAAACCGTTTGCAAGAGTAAAATCTGAATGTGATGGACTCTGGCAGTTTGGGGTTTTTTTACAATATATTGATAATTTAGATATCAATTTTAGAAGACAAATTCCTTATTTTTCTTATCGGAGGCACACAATAGAGACCAGAAAATGTGGCTTCGATTTCTAAGTCTCCCTGACTTGCCCCAAGAGCTTTAAGCAATTGCTTGTGTCATATCCCATCTTGCAGGTAGGGAGCTGATGTACAGAGTGGGGGGACTTTGCTGCAGGCAAGGAAAGATTGTTCATCCTTGGGGTCAGCAGGTGCCCCTGCAGCATCTACTGGTGTGTGACTGAGAGCTGCTTTTCAGTGCTGCTGTGACAGAAGTGCCCTGAGGTCTCATCTGTGCTTAAATCCAGTTTAAAGGCATTGGTGAAACCTGTTGATTTGTGGTGTTCTGGGCTTGCAAGTCTGTCAAGCTGTGTGTGGTTGGAGAGTTTTGTAATTGTCCAGACAGAAGAACAGGCTTTCTTCCTACTTAGCTACAATACAGGAATTATGGTTGCTATCAGGAATGTGATTAAGCAGTGCAGAAATTCATGAAAATCCTTACTTGGCTGTTGTGTTGGGGATGGCAGTGGTTCCCTACCAAAAGGGAGGAAACATATTTTGCAAAAGCACCTTTTCATGGCTTTTCATCTTGAGTCCATAGGTCTTGTAGGAAGTACAAACATTCATTAACATCGAGTTAATCTTGTCCTCTCTCTGCCCCACAGCCTGTCCCTGTTCATTGCAAACCCAAATAGATCATACCAGATCCACCACACCTGTACCAGAAAATGCAAGGTGGAAGGGCTGTAAAGTGCTAGGGAAAAATTTCCAATAGTAATCAGAGGTGGTCAGTATGGCTGAGAACCATCTTTGGTGCTGTTGTTTGGTTGTGGGGTTTTTTTTAAAGGCGTGGATTCAATTTCAAATGAACTGGGAAATTGTCCCAAAGACTCTGTGCTTCTGTACTTGAGCTAGTGTGAACTCTTCCATGAAGTCTCCTTAGCCTGTTTCTTCTGCTCAGTGCTCTCATCTTAGTTCATCTGCTTGCACACGTGCAGCTTTTGGACTGTCATTACCCCATGAGATAAACAGAATGTGCTCTAAGCTGGACCATGCAATATGAGCCCTCCAGCTCAGAATCAGTGTGGCTTCTGGCTTGCCTGAGATCTGAACTTCTTGCAGATGGTTTGTGGTTCTTCCTGTATAAATAGTGTGAAGCTGGCTAGAAGTGGGTGTGGTGCACAGGATATTCTCCCCCAACCCATAAAATTGCTTAAAGAAAAACTTCATTCAGGGAATGTAAGTGGAAACATCACCCTATGGCTCTGCCCAGCTTTCATGTTCCTAAAGCTGTGAAAAAGTTTCCGTTCGTGGTAACAGGAATATGGGAGAACTAGGAAAAACTTGCAGGCCAGAGAAGCTATTTCATTCGTCCTTGGGATGGACTTTGTTAGAAGAGAATTTCAGATGTCAGCAGGAATTTGTGCTAGACAGGGGTAGTGTGGGTAGCTGTGTTCAGTGAGAAATAGGATAGCTGCTCTGGGCTTAGTCATTTGTGTTTAACTGGCACAATGCTAAAAAGTGAGGAATGAACTAGCTGATCTTCAATTCAAATGTGTGTCCTGGAAGTGCAAATACAAGTTGATCCACCATGGCTTGCTGAAGTCAGTGAAAGTTCCTAAAACTGATGAGTTTAGACAGGCATTCATGAGCAATGTAGTCTGCAAAACCTATTAGTTTGTGCACAGAAGAGAATCAACCTTCTTTTGGGAAAATAATACAATGACTGTTGTTGTTGCTGCTGCTTTCAACACACAATGTTTATTAGCACAGACCCCGTCTTCCACGTAAGAGTTGGCTTCTGGATGATCTCAGCATTTTAAGTACAAATAGTTATCTCTGTGAAGGGCCAGGCTTGTGCTAGGGAAGATATTGTACAGCCTCGTGTTAATCTCTCCAGTTCAGAGAGCCTGGGAGAGAACAGTGGCAGGACACAGGCTGTGACAAGCAGGACACTGACGGTGAAGGCTGCTGGTGTTGACTCTGGGTAGAGCTGTGAGCAGCATGGTTTGTCTTATCACAAAGTGCAGGATGTTCTAGATAGACCCCCTTCAGCAAGTGGGGGCAAATCTGAGCCCTCATTCCCCGGGGCAGAGCAGGAACTGGCCGTAGAGGACAGGCATGTCCCTTTTGTCCCCTCCACAGCCACTCCAGGCTCTCGTTTTCAGAAACATTTTTCAGCAGGATGCACACATCCATCTTTCACCTGCACTTGGCCTGTAACCAAATTAAGTTTTCCTTTGACACTGGAAGTTAAATCTGTTTGCAGTGGGATCAGCTCCTGCGAGTATCCAAAGTGTTGGGAAGTTTTCATCAAAAATTGGTGCAGGGCTACCAAAATGCTGTGCATTTTGCCAAGTATTGTAAGCCTCATGCCTTGTCTGGTTCATCATCCAAGTTGGCCGTGTTCCAGCTGAGCTGCTGAGAAAGGTCTTCCTTACAGGCCCCTCTATCCCTTGGACCTTTCTCCTTCCAAGTTTCACAAGCAGGGGGATTCTGAGAGACTTTTGTGCTGAGGATAAGGGTTAGGAAGGGAAGGAGAAGGAAGCAGCAGCAAGAGGGAGGAGGAGGGAGTCCATAATTCATT